AGCAGGTGGGGGGGGGGGGGTATCGCTGTACATGCCGGAGAGAGCTGCAAGGTGAGAGACAACAGACAGGGACTCGTTACATTGTAGAGGCCGAGGGTGACTCTGAACTAATCATGAGAAACGCGGAGAAGACGCAGGAAACGCGTCGGAGGAGGAGCCGTGCAGCCGGACGCAGTCACCGGTGAAGCATCTCGGAGGACATTTGGTGGTCGATTTATAAAAGGGGGGCAGCTCCGGCCCCCCGATCTCCTTCTCACCATCAATAATACAACATGCGTCCCGTGACTCCCGGTGAATCCGCATTGTCTGTGGATCGTATTACCGTCCGGACACAAAGCTGAGCGTACAAGTTTTTTTTACACATCGCCCTCACATTCCGCGCGCTTCCGTCACAGCTTCAGGAGAGCTAAAAGTATCTCAGAGCGGGGAGATCGGCTCCGCCAAGGGCCCGGGAAGATCGTCTATCAGGAGCTCCAGGCCCGGGCTGCATAGAGGTAGAAGCAGCCCCCAAGAGGCAATCAGATGTGCTGCAGTGCTCATCTATCAACAAGTGACATGCGGAGAGAAGGTGAGAGCAGAGTGATCGGGAGATGAGCTCATCAGTCTGCGGCTTCTCCTTCACTTTCCAGTCACAGGGTGAGGGCGGGACAAGACTTCAGCTCGTCTTTATACTGGACATCCCAACATACATGAAATCCCGGACCCGTCACATGTAACATGAACGCTGAGGAAGACACCGGACCTGTCACATGTAACATGAACTCTGACCAGGAAGACACCGGACCAGTCACATGTAACATGAACTCTGACCACGAAGCCGCCGGACCCGTCACATGTAACATGAACTCTGACCAGGAAGCCGCCGGACCAGTCACATGACCTCTGACCAGGAAGCCGCCGGACCCGTCACATGTAGCATGAACTCTGACCAGGAAGCCGACGGACCCGTCACATGACCTCTGACCAGGAAGCCGCCGGACCCGTCACATGTAGCATGAACTCTGACCACGAAGCCGCCGGACCCGTCACATGTAACATGAACTCTGACCAGGAAGACACCGGCCCCCTCACATGTAACATGAACTCTGACCAGGAAGACGCCGGACCCGTCACATTTAACATGACCTCTGACCAGGAAGCCGCCGGACCAGTCACATGACCTCTGACCAGGAAGACACCGGACCAGTCACATGTAACATGAACTCTGACCAGGAAGACGCTGGACCCGTCACATGTAACATGAACTCTGACCAGGAAGACACCGGACCAGTCACATGTAACATGACCTCTGACCAGGAAGACGCTGGACCCGTCACATGTAACATGAACTCTGACCAGGAAGACACCGGACCAGTCACATGTAACATGACCTCTGACCAGGAAGCGGCCGGACCAGTCACATGACCTCTGACCAGGAAGACACCGGACCAGTCACATGTAACATGAACTCTGACCAGGAAGACGCTGGACCCGTCACATGTAACATGACCTCTGACCAGGAAGCGGCCGGGCTGAATCTACAAATGACGGCGGTTATAAAGCCAAGTTAGCATTTTACTGACCGATGGGAGAGGACGGGCCCTTCACCCCGGACACAATGCAGAGCCGGGCCCCTTGTGGGAGGAACATACAGACGGGACCGGGTGCCTCAGCCTGGGACACCTGAAAGGATCCCAAATATTCCCCCCATTTCCAGAGCACCCGACCAGAAACATATGAAACCCCAAATCTCATTGGACTACGTCTGGTATCGGGGTTTCCCGGTATGCACTGCAGGGGTGCCAGCGAAGTTCTGCTCCTCCTCCAGCAGGCCGGCCCCACCTCGGTCTGAGGACCTGTCATGGAGTCTCGGGGGTGTCTCGCTGCAACGTTTCTTTCCTGGAGTTCACACCGGTGACATCACTTCCTATTGCAGGGTGACAACGCTAAACCACGACCACACAATAACCAGCAGCGTTGTCAGCCTGTTGTGTGTGTTCCTCCGGTGGGCCGTTGGGCTGCTTGTCAGGTCTATTGGACGGGTGGGCCCAATGGTCAACTAAAAGGAGCTCACAAGGCAACACTGCTGTATATTGTGAGGCATTGGCTTAGCGTAGTCAGCCTGCAACAGGAAGTGGCTGTTATCTCCAGATAAGAAACATTGTAACACAAAAAACAATACAGTGAGACAACCGGACTGAAAATGAGATCTGGGGGTTCATATATTTCCTCCCATTAC